AGACAACAGCCTTGGTAACGAGAGAAAACAGCCTTGGTAACGAGAGACAACAGCCTTTATAACGAAAGACAATGGCCTTGAGAAACCTTACTAAGCTACTGCGTTTCCTGGACACTTACTATAGCTATTCCTGTGTACCCCTGAGTGCTTTTTAAGTACTATCCTCTGCTAACCCTGGGCAGGAGGTTACTCCAAGAAACCGTAGGCTATCTCAATATATATATGCAAACTGTTGGTTCCTCGTGTCTCAGACAGATGCACTCCAACTTCAAAGAAAAACATCCTAATTAGAACATGCTTGCTAGTGGGCAGTTTAGGTATTCTTTATGTCCCTACATGGGGAGGATTGGCATCTGAAATATTGCTGAGATACTGGGTGTCATGGCATCTGAAATATTGCTGAGATACTGGGTGTCATGGTATTTGAAATATTGCTGAGATATTGGGTGTCATGGTATTTGAAATATTGCTGAGATACTAGGTGTCATGGTATTTGAAATATTGCTGAGATACTGGGTGTCATGGCATCTGAAATATTGCTGAGATACTAGGTGTCAATCTTTCACATTGTACTCTAAGGTACTGGGTGTCAATCTTTCACATTGCTCTCAGAGAAACTGGGTGTCAATCTTTTACATTGCACTCTAAGATACTGGGTGTCAATCTTTAACATTGCACTCTAAGATACTGGGTGTCAATCTTTCACATTGTACTCTAAGATACTGGGTGTCAATCTTTAACATTGCACTCTAAGATACTGGGTGTCAATCTTTCACATTGTACTCTAAGATACTGGGTGTCAATCTTTTACATTGCACTCTAAGGTACTGGGTGTCAATCTTTTACATTGTACTCTAAGGTACTGGGTGTCAATCTTTCACATTGCTCTCAGAGAAACTGGGTGTCAATCTTTTACATTGCACTCTAAGATACTGGGTGTCAATCTTTAACATTGCACTCTAAGATACTGGGTGTCAATCTTTCACATTGTACTCTAAGGTACTGGGTGTCAATCTTTCACATTGCTCTCAGAGAAACTGGGTGTCAATCTTTTACATTGCACTCTAAGATACTGGGTGTCAATCTTTAACATTGCACTCTAAGATACTGGGTGTCAATCTTTCACATTGTACTCTAAGATACTGGGTGTCAATCTTTAACATTGCACTCTAAGATACTGGGTGTCAATCTTTCACATTGTACTCTAAGATACTGGGTGTCAATCTTTTACATTGCACTCTAAGGTACTGGGTGTCAATCTTTTACATTGCACTTAAGATACTGGGTGTCAATCTTTCACATTGCACTCTAAGATACTGGGTGTCAATCTTTCACATTGTACTCTAAGATACTGGGTGTCAATCTTTTACATTGCACTCTAAGGTACTGGGTGTCAATCTTTTACATTGCACTTAAGATACTGGGTGGCAATCTTTCACATTGCACTCTAAGATACTGGGTGTCAATCTTTCACATTGTACTCTAAGATACTGGGTGTCAATCTTTTACATTGCACTCTAAGGTACTGGGTGTCAATCTTTTACATTGCACTCTAAGATACTGGGTGTCAATCTTTTATATTGCACTCTAAGATACTGGGTGTCAATCTTTCACATTGCACTCTAAGATACTGGGTGTCAATCTTTCACATTGCACTCTAAGGTACTGGGTGTCAATCTTTTACATTGCACTCTAAGATACTGGGTGTCAATCTTTTACATTGCACTCTAAGATACTGGGTGTCAATCTTTCACAGTGCACCCTAAGATACTGGGTGTCAATCTTTCACATTGCTCTCTAAGATACTAGGTGTCAATCTTATACATTGCACTCTAAGATACTGGGTGTCAATCTTTCACATTGCAAACTAGGAGGATGGAATTAAAACAAACAAAAAACAAAACAAAGAAAAATAGAAAATAATGGAAACAGAGCTCTATCTGTCTCACCCACCAAGTCAGAACAGCAGCTGACGCCAGTGTAGCATGTGTGTACCTATAGGGACCTTCTATTAAAATCATTTTATAACGTCGAACAGAATATCTGGTACTTGCTCCTGTTGGAGTGACATCCAATATGTGGCTCACTGAATCAATGGTGTCAAATATGTAGACAACATCCGTGACAGTAAAATATCCGCACACTGTAATCATAATTATTACTCTGAACACTGGTGCTTGTTCTGTACTGCCACAACTCTGTCCACAGTGAATGTTTTTAAATTTCTCAACTGAAAACAAAATGTATATATCGTCAGTTCCAGATTCTGCCTCCTGCTTCCACTTTCCTTTAAAACTAAGGTATGAATAATTTCTAGGGTCTCGTAGTTTAATTTATACTTCTACAAGTGTAAGGCATCTAGTGCCTTCAATAAACTGTCCAACATCTGGAAATCAAAGACACTTAGCAAACACACAAAACTCAAGATCTTCAATTCTTGTGTGATTCCAGTACTAACCTATGGATGCGAGAGCTGGAAATCAACGAAAACTCTAGACACAAAATTAGACAATTTTGAAAATAAATGCCTTAGAAGAATTCTAAATTTCAAATGGTCAGATTTCCGAACCAATACACAAATAAGGCAAGAATCCAGGCAAGAGTATGTGTCTAATTGTTTACGAAAACGCCGCTGGAACTATGTCGGCCACGCCCTTAGAATGGATAAATCAAGACTTCCTTACCAAACCCTCATTTGGACACCACAGGCACACTACAAAGTATAACACAGGAACTTGCTATGTTGTCAAATAAGGCAGAAATTCACTTGCAGTGGATTCCGTCTCACTGCGGCATCAAAGCGCAGATGCTTTAGCCAAGGAAGGCAGTAACAAACTACAGACCTACCAGCCACTTTTTTTTCCAGAAGTCAAAACTCTCATTAAGAGAAAATCAGAAACAGACTGGAAAAACAACACTGGTTATGACTACGGAAAAGATTTTCTGAGGCACTTGAACAGAACAGACCAAGTCACAGTTTTTCGCTTACGCACTGGACACTGCAGACTCAATAAACACTCATATAAATTAGGTATGAGCCAAACAGCTCTCTGCCAGTGTCTTCGTGCTGAACAGACTCCAGAACATGTCCTGCAAGACTGTCCTCTCCTGGCGGAGCTGCGGAGCGACATATGGCAACACCCAGTAGAACTGACAACTAAGCTTTGGGGAAACCTAAGAGACCTTGAAAAGACATCCCAGTTTATGACCCACAGTGGATTATGCGCATGACCAGAGATCGCTGAAGAAGAAGAAGAAGAGGACACCACAGGGGAAAAGATCTCGTGGAAGACCAAGGGAAACTCTACGTAGAACTATCATCAGGGAAGGCTCGCTCATGGGCCACTCAAACATCCAAGACCTACAACAGATTGCAACGAACCGCCATGCATGGAAAGTCATGACCTCTGCCCTATGTGCTGCACTCGACACAAGAGGAAAGACTAACTAACTAATCTATAAGTGTGCAACTTTATATTTAGATTCTCCCCCTGTGGGCTGCGAGACCCCACTGTGTGGAAAACAAGAATAGACCCAGTGCCTGCCAATAAGCATGTCGTATACTAGTCCACTAACTGGGAGCATCCTTCAAAGTCGGAGTACATCTGCCAGGGAAGCAAGGAACCAAGAGTGTATACAAAAAAGCCAGATCTGCGAAATGGATGCGCATGCAACACCCCGGCTGTGGAACAAGATAAAAAGTCTGGAGGTAGACGAACATCCACAACTTTCTGCCCAAGTTTACAGCCAGCAAAAGCGAGGAAGATACTTAGAACCATACAACTGATAGACATCTCCTTTTTGTTGGTCCGAGTGACGTAAATGTGTTGTGCCCGTTTACAGCAGAGCCTTTCAGCTGACACACTTCTGGTGTACACAGGTGCTGACTCACTTCTGGTGTACACAGGTGCTGACACACACATAGCGGTGCACTAAGACCTGGTTTAGTGCTGGTCATGCCCTGCCCACACCTTTCATGGTCATCCTATAAACAGGTTTCACACAAAAGGACTGGCTAAAGAAGATAGATAGGACCAATGTTTTCTTCCAAGTCTGTGTAATTGACCGAGAGGAATGCTGAATTAGGAATTGACATCACAGAACTCGGGACACCCCCATAAGCATTCTGTCCCCATCTTCAGCTGCAGGCAAAGAGTAAAATATTTAATGGTACCAGTATCTGTCTGACTGTATATATGTCTCGCCTTTCCCCTGAGTGTTGAACAGATCCCCTTGTAACTCCTTGCAGTGCCATTTTCCTCATACTGTAATGATCTATCTGTGCCTCTGCACTGTTCACTCACTCCTAAAGGGCCCTTACAAAATCCAGCCTATCATTCATCAGTTCACCACCAAGTGGCGCAGAACCGGCCAGTCTATATGCCTGCTCATTTCCCAACACACCTGCATACCTGGGTAGAAAATATCCAAAGTATGCTAACTACCCAGGACCTTTGAAGTGATGCTTGCCACTTTGTACGGAGCATGCCTGTCTCCACCTTTCTCAACATGCTCTGTGAGTCAATTACAATGACATCTGTGTACAGCTGTAGCCTGAGAGGAAAGGAACTAACAGTCTGCACACGGATATGCAGACAAAATCTTAAGTCATGGAACACGGTCAAAGTGAACAATCAGGCTTTTACATGAGTTTACAGCTCCTGAATGTGAAGATTAAGAATTTTACAAGTAAATAAACAGCTTCTGATAATAGAAGTGAACAGCTAAATGTTCTTTTGCTTCAAATATTTGTCAAAACTGAGGTTTGAGTATTTGATTAGTTCCAATATCCGTCAAAAATGAAATCTGCATTTATTTTACTGGGTTGGTTCCAATTTCCGTTAAAACTAGGATCTGCATGTATTTTATTTGTTTCACTATTACTTTATACTTGAATCTCTATAACTAAGTAAACTGCTTCAGATAAAGAAATAAACATCCAAATGAGTGAAAATATCAGGAATATCTTACAAAGTATCACAGAGCCTTTATTTTAATAATCAGCAAGGAATTTCACTATCCAACTGCATCTCTTTAACCCTGGTTAGATCTCTGGTAGGTTCTTTTGTCTGGGAGGCTCCTGAATGTGTGGTCTGCCCACCCGTAGGAGTGGGGTTTCCTGTTGAATTGTTTGAATTTGTCCCACTGGGATTCTGAGATGGGTCTGGAGCATTGCTTGGGTCATAGTTAGCTTCAGAAGCAACAGCCTTCAGCTCTAGTAAATCTATAGCAGCTTCTATGTATCTGACCGCTTGTTTCCTTGCTTGTCGGATATTCTCATTTGATCCTGCATCCACAATATCCAGTTTAAGCAAGCTCCGGGTTAGCATTTCTTCTATGTATCTGTATTCTTTATCCTTTTTCACTCCTCGGAAGTTGTTCACCTGCTCTTCGAGACTTTTCACCTCGCTCATAACTCCATTGATGATCTCAAAAGCTCTTTCCTCTTGGCTCTTTTGTGGTTCAGCATGTTGTGGTGGTGGCTCCTCCGGCTGCTGTCGCTCTGGCGCTGGAACGGGCACTGGTTGTGACGGCTGTGCCGAATATGAGGGATCATTGTAATCTGGAGGTGGCTCCTGCTGGCGATTATTCTGAAACTGGGGTGGCTGTGGTTGGGCTGACGGTGGAACTGCCTGCGAGAAGTCGGGCTTCGGGCTTGCACGGGGGCTTCCCTGCATGCCTGCCATGGGGGTTGGGCTAGCCCTGGCCGGCACTGGACATGCTGTCTCACGAATGATGGGGATTGTGACAGGACCCCTAGACGGACCTTGATGCGGATGGCTGGGCCCACCAGGCTGGCGAAGAGTACTGTAATCTGCAGACGCTGGCGGAGGGTACTGGGGGTAGACGTTCTGAGGGGCTTGCTGGTGGGGTTGCGGTTGCTGTGGGTGACCAAAAGGGGCTTGCTGGTGAGGTTGCGATTGCTGTTGGTGACCAAAAGGGGCTTGATGGGATTGCGCTGAATGTGGGTAGACAAGAGGAGTGCTCTGGTGATGGTGAGAAGCTTGTGGCTGCGGATATGCTAGCTGTGGGCCTTGATTAGATGACTGCGCACCACCCCCTTGGCTGACATACTGAATAGGAATTTCCCAAACATCTCCTCGCCTTCTTGGTCCAGGCTGCTGCTGCTGGTGTGCAGACTCCTGCTGTGCATTGTGCGACTGGGGTGGTGGAGCACCAGGATGTTGATTGGGATGGGGGTAGTTAGCATTCTGTGCTGTATTCTGTGAGGGATGTTGGGCTTCATTCCAGCCTTCAAACTTGACGGGTACCTCGACTACCCTGCCAGCAGGTGCACCAAATCTGTAGCTTGGGTAGGTGTACTGGTACGGGTCCTGAAACATAGCACAAACATGACTTTGGTTAGAGCTCACAGGGAAAATCTTGGAGTTAGAAATACTACTGTGCCAGTGACTATCAACTGTACCAATAAGTATTCCACTGTGCCAATAAGTATTCCAACTGTACCAGTAAGTATTCCATTATGCCACTAAGTATTCCATTGTGCTAATAAAGTATTCAACAGTACCAATAAGTATTCCACTGTACCAGTAAGTATTCCATTATGTCACTAAGTATTCATTGTGCCAATAAAGTATTCAACAGTAACAATAAGTATTCCACTGTAGCAGTAAAGTCTTTCATTATGCCAGTAAGTATTTCACTGTGCTAGTAAGTATTCCACAGTGCCAATAAGTATTCCATTTTGCCAATAAATAATTCCACTGAGCCAAATGTACTCAACTGTACCAGTAAGTATTCCATTGTGCCAATAAGTATTCCACTGTACCAATAAGTATTTAATTCTACCAGTAGGTATTGTGCCAGTAAGTATTCCTTTGTATTTCACTTTACCAATTTTCATTCCAGTGTACTAATAAAATAAGTATTCAGCTGTAAAAATAGAAAGTAGGACAATAATTTCCAGGTCAGTTACAGTAGGAACTACTAGCAGCCGGTTCACTGCCTCATGAGGTTCCCTGGGTCAAAGAATGGGTCACACTAAACAATGAAGCTCACAGAGATTTCAACCAGTCAATTCTTTGCCCCATTAGTGTTTACTGAGTACTCCCGTTATTTTCTATAAAATAAAATACATATATTGGTTTGGGTCCATGAAATGTTACACATTTTTTTTCAACATGCCAGACTAGACAACCAACAACATGTTTAAATCTGTAGAATTTGATTTTTTGGCTATCTTCCGAATAAAGGGAACTATACCGCCCTGCCGAGAGTATCCCCCACACCGCTCATGCAGCGTGGATTGGGGCTAAACTAGATGGCTAGGAATCACAAGCAAATAAAATCAAGGCAGCTGCAGGAAATGCGGTAATGAGTCCCAACCATCTAGTTTAGCCCCAATCCATGATGAGTGAGCGGCGTGGGGGATACTCTCGACGGTGGCGGAAGTACGCACTTTAAGTCGCCAAAAGTGCGCAATTTGACACGTGACTGAGGCCCTGTTAGGGTATATTTTCTGCCTCGATAATTTTGGACCGTTATTCAGAATATAGTCGATTTTTTTTTCCTTTGAGGAATAATGAATGTTTCAGGAAAACCTAATTTCCGAAAATACACGGCCTTTAGGGTTTTTTCTGTGTCATGGGCGAAATTAAAGGTCAATTTAAATAATTAATACAATAATAATAATGATAATAGTAATAAATAGGGAGTTTCGTCGTGGCGTAGGGGCTAGACGCTCACTTGCAGATCGGAAGGTCGTGGGCTTGCTCCCTGGCAGAGCCGGACTTTTTTCTAAAATGACCTTGGCTCCCAGGTCGATCCAGTCTTGAGTGGGTACCAGGTGCATTTCTGAGTTCTGGAAAGTAAAGGCGGCCGGCGTGATGCTGACCACGTCACCTATCTTGAGCCGTTGGTCTATATAAATATAGGTCTAGCCCTATATACACAATATGCTTGAAAGGCGTAGAAAAGGATCCTATACTTTTTTTTTTATTTAAATAAAAATAGTTGAGCTTCCAGAATTTCCTATCAAAATTCTGCTGAAAAATGATATGTGATTTTTATCTTAAAACTTAAAATAAGTAAAGCACAAAATTGCAAAACATTTACCATCACAACACGCGGGTCGTTCCATGTTGTATTTTTGCTGTTGTGGTCAATAAAATATGGCAAGCCTGAAGCGCCATCCATACGCATCTCCCAGCCAGGCGGTAAAGGGTCGTTCCTGATGTGAGGCATCGTAAAGTATTGCCTGTCCGCCATAGTCCGTCCGTCTCTCTCCACTGATGGAGTCCCGTATTCTCGAACTCTCCGAACACTGCACTTCCGGGCTGGAGGCGCCGCCCTTCGTGTCTGTTCGGGAGTGTTCGGGTAAAGGGGACCTAAGCGACGGGGAGGATGCCTTGGGTATTTATATTTTAACTTATCTTCCTTATCGTCGTTACAAAGAGCAAAGTTATTTTAAAAAGTTGGGCTATCAGATCGGAGAAAACAAGAATAGACCCACAGCGCCATACTAATAAGCATGTCGTAAAAGCAGATCGGTTGATCGACGGTCCGACAAGCTGTCATCGCAAACCACCAATTGTTGTAGAATCAGATTTCTGGCTCTAACTGCATGATGATACGTTCTAATCTGTTAAATTCGAAGGAGCTGGAACTATGTCGGCCACGCCCTTAGAATGGATAAATCAAGACTTCCTTACCAAGCCCTCATTTGGACACCACAGGGGAAAAGATCTCGTGGAAGACCAAGGGAAACCCTACGTAGAACTATCATCAGGGAAGGCTCACTCATGGGCCACTCAAACATTCAAGACCTACAACAGATTGCAACGAACCGCCATGCATGGAGAGTCATGACCTCTGCCCTATGTGCCGCACTCGACACAAGAGGAAAGACTAACTAACTAACTAAAAGCAGGCTCTTTTTCTTCAGCGATCTCTGTTCATTTGTTTAATCTACTGGGTATGCCTATCAGCATTCATACCGAGAAGAAGTAGAATGTTTAAGTGTATGTATGCATTTATGCATGACAATAATATTTTATTTATAAATGTATGCTGGAACATAAGGCTAATAGTATATGAGAGAAACATGATAACTTTTGTACACCATTAACACATGTGTGTGAGCATGTAGAGAGTCGGTAGTCCAGAACCCAAGCTTAAGGTGTCTCCTTCGTGCCAAAGAACTGCATGGTTGTGGGGTGTAAAATCGTTAACGAAGGCAGTCAGGTCGTTAAGGGGCGACACCTTGCTGATGGGCGTTACGCCCCTGGCCCCTTCCCCAGCACGAGGGCACTACTGGGTTGACCGTTAATAAAACCCTCACTACTTCTGCCAGACGGTGGCCGGTGCTTTTTTGCTGCGTCGCCCAGATTCTGAGTTGATTGCATGACGTAACACTGTGAGTTGAAGTTTTCATTTGGTATGCTTTTCTATTGTGACCAACGTGGTGGTGTGAGTTCAGAAAATGGCGCGATGCCTGTCGGCGCAATATTGGTGGTGCCATTATGTGATTAAAATTGATCGCGTGTGCAACTGCTGATGTGACTTCTGCTACCATCCATGATGAACTGCATTTATTATGTTGGACTGTTTGTGTAAGCACTTCGGATGGCTACCATATGCTTTAATGCGTGTGTATGCAAGTGCATATGCTGAGACAGCAGACTGTCAATCTTTTCACAAGGGACTGTAATAAACATTTTGTGCGTTTTTAGTTGGCACAGGAGCAGAGCAACTATGGGGTGACCCGTTTGCTATAAAACTGAAACTAAGATTACCAGATTACACCCAGAAGACACCGTCATCGACACTGATGGATCCGTGAAGCGCAGATCAAGGTCAGCATCTGCATATACAGTACAAAGGATATGGAAAAACAATAAAAGAGGACATTGGCACTTACCAGGCAAATACGTCAAACATGACCATGGGGATATCCGCTGCTTCTAGATTACTAGCAAGGGCAACAGAACAAACAGCCACACTTCTAGTAATTGCATCAGATTACAGGAACATGCTTCAGAAGCTGGCAACAGGCGTTATATGCTCTGAATGGGTACAAATCATTCGAAAATCGCACTTAACCTCAAAAACCTGAATCTACACGCGTGGTTATGCTGACGTAAAGGAAAATAAGCGAGCGAACCAAATGGCAAACGATGCACCAACACATGTGGGAAAGGGCGTGAACAGGGCAGATATCATCAACGCTGTACGGACTGAGCTAGTGAACCTCTGACACTAACACAGTTGCACGACATGGGAGTAAAGAACGGTGATGCACTTCTATGTCGCTTTCGAGGCCGAGATAGGAGACATTATAACCAGCCTCTTATGGGAAAAATTAGTAGAAGTACATTGGACTGGCTGGTACATCAGAGGATTCAGCACGCATGGAAATGCCCAGCGCATGGTGATGTCGATTGTGATAACATAACAATGTGAGCCATAAGCTGGGATGTCATCCTAAGGACCTAGGTTTAGCCAAGCTTAGACGTCAGGTCGACTGTGTACAAGTCGACTAATTCGTGGAGTTTCCTTAAAGTTCAGGTGCATCTGCATCTGCATATGTAGGATTGTAGTACTTTGGAGTTAAATATGGATCTGGCATAAACTCGTGAATAAATAAATCTACGATTTACGTACTATCAATGTACTTCTGCAGAAACAAGACTTGATATGGCAACAACCGCGATGTCCCAGCTGAATACGACGTGGAAGAGCAAAATCAATATGGCAAGTAAAGATCAATACATAAAAATCATTGGTTATTATACAATTTCTTATACAGATATGGGAGTTGAACTCTCGCTGGAGAAACAGACAGAGAGATTTATGTATGTATGTATGTATGTATGTATGTATGTATGTATGTATGTATGTATGTATGTATGTATGTATGTATGTATGTATGTATGTATGTATGTATGTATGTATGTATGTATGTATGTATGTATGTGTGTGTGTGTGTGTGTGTGTGTGTGTGTGTATGTATGTATGCCTGCCTGCCTGCCTGCCTGCCTGCCTGCCTGCCTGCCTGCCTGCCTGTCTGTCTGTCTGTCTGTCTGTCTGTCTGTCTGTCTGTCTGTCTGTCTGTCTGTCTGTCTGTCTGTCTGTCTGTCTGTCTGTCTGTCTGTCTGTCTGTCTGTCTGTCTGTCTGTCTGTCTGTCTGTCTGTCTGTCTGTGTATGTATGTATGTATGTATGTATGTATGTATGTATGTATGTATGTATGTATGTATGTATGTATGTATGTATGTATGTGTGTATGTGTGTGTGTGTGTGTGTGTGTGTGTATGTATGTGTGTGTGTGTATGTATGTATGTATGTATGTATGTATGTATGTATGTATGTAATTGTATGTATGTATGTATGTATGTATGTATGTATGTATGTATGTATGTATGTATGTATGTATGTATGTATGTATGTATGTATGTATGTATGTGGTATGTATGTATGTATGTATGTATGTATGTATGTATGTATGAATGTATGTATGTATGTATGTATGTATGTATGTATGTATGTATGTATGTATGTATGTATGTATGTATGTATGTATGTATGTATGTATGTATGTATGTATGTATGTATGTATGTATGTATGTATGTATGTAGTAATGTATGTGTGTCTGTATGTATGTATGTATGTATGTATGTATGTATGTATGTATGTATGTATGTATGTATGTATGTATGTATGTATGTATGTATGTATGTATGTATGTATGTATGTATGTATGTATGTATGTATGTATGTATGTATGTATGTATGTATGTTGATGTATGTATTTTTTTTATTGAGAAGAGGACAGGGGAAAGAAGGTGGAGGTTGAGGATAGTGGAGAGGACGGGTAAAAAAGCAAAAAGATGGAGGTGGAGGAGGAGGAGGAGGAGAAGGAAGAAGAATAGGGCTGGAAAAAAAGATATTATTTCATAAAAACTCGTTTATAAATGGTATTTAGAACTTCTGACTTGTCTACCAGGAGTCTTCCTTTTGCTGTCGCTGTAAATACCGCCTTTTTACATTACTTAGTGCTGCTGTATGTCCGGGACAGTACACACACGCGAGTTCCTGTAATTGTCGACTCAAAAGTAACGTCAGAATACACTACCGCCATTTGCAAGAGCACCGCCATGTTTTTCTGTGCTTGTTGGCACGTTGAGATAATACTTATCTACCTCGCCATATTGCTTCGGCTCTGTATAAATGGCTTCATTGTCTACGATGAGCAGATTTATGTTGTCGTCTGCTTGATATCCAAGGAACATAGCTCCTGGCTGCAGAGATATTTTAGCTGGGGTAATTAGAGGGAATTAAATGGTATAATGGAATAACTAATGTAGAACTTTGGGAGAGAACTAAACAGGCTCCAGTGGACCAAGAGGTGAGGAAAAGGCGCTGGCGTTGAATAAGACACACTGAGAAAACAGGAGAACAGCATAACTAGAATGTCTTTGCATTGGAACCCACAGGGGCATAGGAATAAAGGAAGGCCAAAAAACACATGGAGAAGAGAGCTGGAGAATAAAGTTAGAAAGATGGGAAGGACATGAGGAGAGCTCCACGCAATGGCGAAGGAAAGAACGACTTGGCGTGAGTTGGTTGAGGGCCTATGCTCCACTGGGGGATAGAAAGGCAGAAGAAGAGAAGAAGAAGAAGTACGTAAATTGTGGAAAGCAACGGGAAACTACCACATTACTATCCCAAGAAACAAATCATGGAAGCCAAAAATGACCGAGTTTCTTTCAGGCAGACCGTGATGAGAGCGTCGTTTTGCAAAGGACCTGCTACATGATGAGAACGTAAATCATTGCAAACATACCTGCATTCATCAGAGGATCACTGTGGCGATGTGGTCAAGTGGTTTGCCTCGCGCTCTGAAGGTCTCGGGTTCTATTGAAGGGCTGTGTCGTTAGGCTTACGAGTGCAGTTTTTAACGAAGATCCATAGGGATTGTAACTAGAGCTATGGAATTCGTGTTTTATGCGACACTTTTTGCAGGCGGCTAGGCATTCTGAGGAGAGGATCAAGAACTAGAGGGCTCGCGCATACCTCAAGATAAGCTCCGATATGAAGCACCCTTTGCACAACATGCTCTTCAGGAAAAAAAGACAATAGACTAAAAAGGGGCAAATCGTACAACAATACAAAACAATATAAATTACATTTTGGTCCTGTAAATAATTACACAATACATAAATTTAAAATAACAAATATATATTCTGAGAACTCAGTTAACACTATATATCCCAATCATAACCATGAGGGTTTGAACAGGATATTTGACACAATTACTACCACTACTTTACTTAGTCCAACCTCTAATAAGTCGACTTAACGAAATGCTTATTATGGGGTCAATGAGTCTATTCTTTTTGTCCCTCACTTCGGGCTTTGGAACCCACACAATGATGGTTGCATTTGATTATCATAATTTTAATTACACGCTTCGGAGATTATATCATGACACTGATTCTGAAAGAATCCAACAGTAATAGTATCTTACATACAAGTCACTGTAGTGGACTTAGATAACGCTGCCCGTATGAAATGTCAACAGACGTTGGATTAATATTAATCATTAACATTTCCACTTGAAAATGTAGAATATTTAACATATCTTGGTAGTGTGATATCCCTACTGGGAGGGACCGAAGAAGACATACAGTCACGCCTGAACAAAGCTAGAGCTGGTTTTGGAAGGATGGGGCAAATCTGGAAATCCAACACTTACTGCAGAGGAACGAAACTCCGACTCTACAAGAGCATCATTTTGCCAGTGCTTCTTTATGGAGCGGAATGCTGGAGAATGACCAGAAAGGATACACACAAGCTGTCCACCTACCACCACACATGTCTACGTAGAATTATCAAAATGTTATGGCCAGATACAATCTCAAACACTAAACTACTTCAAGTCACAAACCAAGAAACTCTAGACAGTATGATAACCAAGAGAGGATGGAAATGGCTTGACTACGTTATGAGAATGAATCCTGATATAACTGGCAAAACAGCTCTCACATGGATACCAGAGGGAAAGATAAAAAAAGAGGCGCCCAAAAACAACATGGAGACGAACGATGGAAAGTGACTTGAGTGCGGCATCTTTGACACGGAAAACTGCACTGAAGATTGCACAGGACAGGAAAGCATGGACAGTCCTCTCTGAAGCCTCATGTGCCACTAGACATAACGAGAACTGATTACCATTTCACTTGAAGCGTACGGTCCTGCGGTGGCGTCCGACCCATAATTCCATGTACCACGATTGAAACCGACTGCTGGCTGCGTGGATTGTTATCATGGTATGTATCGTCGCAGGTCGACCCAGCCTTAAATGGGTACCAGAATGGATGTTCTTTGGGAAGTAAAGACAGACCACATTACCCAGCTAGTGGCGAAGATCTGTAAAAATAAGGGTGCTCTTCCTATATGCCCGATGCGGCCAAAGCTTAAAAAAGGGATCTTTACTGTTTTACTTTTATACCGTCCTGCTGTGACCCATGGCTGCATAGACGAATCAGAAGTTTAACAAATTATTCATGACAATTTCCACCTAAGTAATGTGATTGTATATACAGATTGCTCCATGTTAAGGGGCAGGCGAAGTGCATGTAATAGCAAAGGCGAGTGGACATCGCTTGGCGCAACAAAGCCTGGATATGATATCGCGACGTCTGGTCTGAGAATGGAGGTGGAGGCAGTCACTGCTGCCTTTCGCTGGCTTGAGAATCAGCTGTACACACATGTCGTCATTGCAACCAACTCACAGAGCATGTTGAGAAAGGTGAAAGCAGGCATGCTCTGTGAAGAGTGGCAAGCATCACTTCAGAGATCACGGGTAGTTAGCAGCATCATTTGGATATTTTCTCTAGGTGTCGCCGGTGTGTTAGTAAATGAGCAGACAGACAGACTGGCCGGTTCTGCACGACTTGGTGGTGAACTGATGTATGACAAGCTGGATGTTGTGATGGCCCTTTAGGAGCGAGTGAACAATGGGGAGGAACAGATAGATCATTACGGTCTGAGGAGAATGGCACTGCGAGGTGTTACAAGGTGATCTGGCCGACGCTCGACACTCAGGGAAAGGCGAGACGGTTATACAAGCAGACAGTTACTGGTACCATTGACATTTTAACTCTTCGCTTGCTGCTGAAGATGGGGACGGAGTGCTTATTGGGGTGTCCCGAGTGCTATCATGTCGATTTCTAATTCAACATCACAGACGAATATCACACGTACATCGCTGAGAAAGGAGATCAAAACATTTGTGTGTGTGACTCTTAACTCTCAACTTATCTAATTAAGACCAGTCATGAATGCAGCTATGATCAAATAACATGTTTATTATAAACTAAAGTCATTCATTTAAGGACAATATTTAAAGACAATTTTTGTATCTGCCGCAGCGAACAAATAAAATTATATTAGGAGGAAGGAAGAATGACGTCAACATTATACGTCTCCCAGAATCCCCAGCGAATCCAATATGGCCTTCGCATGAAATAGTACACAAACATTCCTGTGGGATATTACTAATCTAAAGCAATCGAAGTGAGATACTACAAACTATATCGCTTTTTTTCAAAAAATATATTACTTCACGTGAACACAAAAGCGTTTTATAGTAATATTGTACAAATATATTTGTAATGAGATGTTTATTTTTATGTGTGAAGTCTCCCGCCATGACAAAGAAATAAACGTACAATCTGTTTACTTGTTTTGCGTGTCTTTGTTTTAGGTAGCAGGGTATGCTGTGAGATAACCTTAAATGCCGGTACCAAGCATGCATCCATCTACTTGGGAGGGCAGTCACGCTATGTTGAACCAGCGCGATATGGCAGGGATGAGGCAAAACCAAGGTCCCCGGTCACAGGACGATGCAAACGTCGGATATTTATACCAACGGAGTCCATAGCGATGTACAAATGGGCGGCGGTTTTCATCAGAAAAGATGGGCGGCGGGAGACGATAGCATTCTTGAACAGGTAGGATATACTGTGAACATGACAACTAATTTAATTCGTTTTCACTTCTGGTCTCCCCCCCCCCCTCCCCGATAGTGTTGTCTGACAGCGTCTCATTGCGCTTTATTTCGTTAGTGACGCAAGCAATGAATGTCATCTCTGTTATTTGACCCTTGTGTTAGCTTCTAGTCTACACACTACACCCATTCAATTACTTCGTCTGTTCTATCATTTATTTCCTGCTTTTGTTTTTTTTAGCTGAACAACACTTTACAAGGGAAGAAACATCCAATATGTATTAAATTATTATTTTTTACTATTCCATAGGTAAGATCTAGATCGTTTTTTCAAAAGTTCCCAGTAACTAACTTACAAGTCATAAAGACTCCTTATTGACTTAACTTAATGACCTGTTAACTAGTATATATATATACATTTGAAATAAACATGAATTGTTAAACATTTTATATTTCCCATGATTTCACTTATTTTTTCTTGGGCTAGTAGCAAATGATTGGGGTGGCTAACAAATGATTAAGAGTCACAGTTTGTGAGTCATGGGAAGTATTTCCCAGTGCTTAGTCATCAGGTAGTTTACACATATTTTACCATACACTGTTAGTCTTATTAACTCTTACATCTTTCTGCCAAACAGCGCAACACATGTATTTGGATATCATGCAATAGTACCCGTCTGTCAGTGCTTTGTATATGTGTGTGTATATATATAAATATATATATACACACACACACATACACACTCTTATTTAGCCATACAAGGATTTTTGCATTGTTTTTGTTTTGCCAAAATCACTCTGTACTTTGGGCATAGTAAATTTATTAGTTTTGCATCTTTATTATTGTCACCTCTCTTGAGCGTTAGCTATGACCTTCTGGGAGTAAAAGAGTTAAAATGTGTGCCATCCATCATCCAACAAACCAAGATAAACTGTATTTCTTGTGCCTTTCATCTCCCAATGAAGCATAGGCCCTTCACCTACAGGACACACCCTGTGTAGGCTTTTCATAATAGGTTAGATTTTGCGGCTATCCTCAGAATAACTGTCCCAAATTATCGAGGCCGAAAATATACCCCAACAGGGCCTCAGTTACATGTCAGTTGCGGGCTTTCGGCAACTTGAATTGCGAACTTCCAGCGGCTACCGACACCGCCAAGAGCTTTCGAGCAACTAGATGCTGGGACTTGCAGCAACTTCCCAGCGGCTACCGACTAGTTTAGCCCCGCGCAAGAGTATCTCATGAACGCCGCTACGCGCGGCGTGGAGCGGGTTTTTAACTAGATGCTGCTGGACAGTTTTACAGATCTGACGCATGGATGTTGCAGACTCACTCAGGCAGTAGCAGAAATGAAAATGTTTGCAGGGAATACTGGTTGCTATTCCCTATGTGGGTTCCGGGGCCCCATCGAGGGGAAAACAAGAATAGACCCTCTGCTAACCCAAAAGCATATCGTAAGAGTCCACTAATTGGGAGCTTCCTTTGAAGTCGGAGTGCATCTGCCTGAGAGGCAAGGAACCAACAGTCTGCATTCAAGTGAATCAGATCTGTAAAACTGATGCACACGCAACACTCAGGTTCTGGAGCAGGACTGCAGTTCAGAAGTGGATGAACAACCAGAACTTTCCACCAGAGTTTACAGCTGGTGAACGCGAAGAAGAAGACTGGTTGCTATGACTGTGCCTTCTTTATGATGTGGCTTTAAGTATTTTTCTTTTTCACATTCACTTGCTGTAAACTCCAGCAGAAAGTTCTGGTGGTCACTCAACTCCAGATTGTAGCCTTGTTCCTTCTTCTTCAGCGATCTCTGGTCATGCGCATAATCCACTGCGGGCCATAAACTGGGATGTCTTTCAAGGTCTTTTAGGTTTCCCCAAAGCTTAGTTGTCAGTTCTACTGGGTGTTGCCATATGTTGCTCCGCAGCTCCGCCAAGAGAGGACAGTCTTTCAGGACATGTTCTGGAGTCTGTTCAGCATGAAGACACTGGCAGAGAGCTGTTTGGCTCACACCTAATTTATATGAGTGTTTATTGAGTCTGCAGTGTCCAGTACATAAAGCCTTGTTCCAGAACCTGTGTGTACACTTATTTCAGATATCTGGCTTATTTGTGTGCTCACTGTTGATTTCTCGCGTCTCCAGCTGATGTCCCTAATTCATCGACTCTGTGACATGCTTGTTTGCTGGAGGCAGTGGGTCTGTCCTTGCTTTACCTACAATGGGGACCCCAGACCCACACAGGGATCAGTGTCTAACTAAATAGGGGTTGAAGCTTAGGGTAGATGGCCTCACCTTGTAATGTTGTGTATGCTGGGCAAATAGATCTCTCTCTTTTCTGTCTTCTTCTTTCTCTCAATCCCTCTTCTCATCCGTTCTCTTCCCTATCTATCCTGTTTTCTCGCTTTCATCTTTCCTGTCCCCTCTCTCTGTCCCTTCCTGATTTATCTCCATTCTCTCTCCCTCTCCTCTGTTTTTATCTCTCACTGTCTTACCTTATCTCTCCTCTCTTTCATTCATTCTTCTCTTTCCTTATCTTTATCTTTTTCTGAGAAACCAAGCATGTCATAAAATGCGACTAATTAGGGATGTTGTCATCAAAGCTGGAGAACATCTTGCATGAGAGGCGAGAAACCAACAGCCTGTACATATCTTAGCCAGAGTTGTAAAACAGATGTGCATGCAAAACTCAAGTCCTGGAACAAGATCAAAGTCCAGAAGCGGATGAACAACCAGAACTTTCCAGCAGAGTTTACAGCCAGTGAACTCTAAGAAAAAGTGGACAGATGATGTCACTGTGATGTAGAGTTAACCGACCCCTCTACTAGTAATCTTCGCATTTACTGGCTGTAAACTCCTTCAGAAATTCCTGTTGTGCCTCCAGTTCTGGACTTTAGTCTTGTTCCCGAATCTTGTGTTTTGCCTCCACATATGTTCGACAGGTCTGACCTGTTGGAAAGCGAACTTGTGTTTTGCCTCCACATATGTTCGACAGGTCTGGCCTGTTGGAAAGCGGACTGTTGGTTCCCCGCCTGTCAGTCAGATGTACTCTGACTTCGAAGGACTAGTATGGTCTGTTGGCATTTCTTTGCTGTTGTGCAATGGGGCAATGAAGGACATTTTGTGTGATGGCCACTGGCACAGAAACAGCAGTTCGAGGGTGACCTCTCTACAATGATGCTGGTACCTCGACAGACACATTTGCCTTCAGTTCTGTATTGTTTCTACATGACCGATGAAGAGCTCTGAATTGTTTCTGCCAGACTTTTTCTGTTACTGTGCTACAGTTTTCTTCCTCTAAGCATTTCACTTATTAACTTTCTTTCCCGTTTTTAAACTCATTTTTTGTTAAAAACCTGATTTTACCATCATTCTTGTTTCTAACTTCCTGTTTTCTCTGCACTCTGTTAAGCGCAACAAGATAAGTGTTAGAAACCATTTTATTACATTTCCTTTTCTGTAGACTGCTTGACTATTTTCATCCTCCCCCTCTCTCCCCCTCCCACACACACACACACACACACTTTCCCCTCTTTCGGTCAGATTTAGTCTTCTTTCCATCTCTCTAGCTGAAATGTTTATGAACTGGGGAAGTTAAATTAAACAGCTGCCTGTGAAACTGAAACCTTGTAATAGTCCTAGTCCTTTTGAGAGAAAAAAATTTAAAGTTCGACCACTTTCAGACTGCTGCTAGCTAGCCGAGGCTGCTAGCTAGCCGAGGCTGCTAACAGTCTCCGCCTATATTTGTAGTCCGGGTTATTTGCGTCACTTTTCGTGACTTAATTCTAGTATTGCGCCATTTCTGGTCTTGATGCTTCCTTCCGAGTTAGACCGCTCGTCCTCCACCCTTTTGTTAGCTGTGCGTTTCTTTCCTGTTCTTATTTGGTGTTTCCTCTTGGTGTCGTCTCTCTCTGATTTGGCCAGGCGTATCTCGTAGGAGAGCGAGCTTTTCCACATAACGACCTTTGAACCACCATTTATAGTTTTAAAATGTCGAGTATTGTACTTTGCCAAAAAGTACTGAAAACAGTTTTTGATGTTGGATAGTTCCGAAATGGGAAAATATTCCGCGTGTGACTATAGTGGTCTTATAGTTGTCTTCCTGCAATAAGAGCGGGTTAGTCATGTCGTGGATATGTGTGTGAAATGTTATGTGGAGCCTCAAAGTGGGTCTATTCGTCATTTGTTAGTGTGTGATCCGGTTATGTCAGTTTAGGTTGGTAGCTAGACTCCGGTGTATCTTGTCAGCTGTAAACATAGCTCCCTCCTCCTTTTTGCTCCTCCTCATGTTCTTCAGCATTCAGACTGCATTTAGTGTTACAGTGCGGATTCCAGTTAGGTCACTTAATGTTACAGTGTGGGTTCAGGTTAGGTCATGTAATGTTACAGTGCGGATTCCAGTTAGGTCACTTAATGTTACAGTGTGGATCATGTTAGGTCATGGATTCCGGTTAATGTTAGTGTGGATTCCAGTTTAGTCATTTAATGTTACAGTGTGGATTTCATTTAAGCCATTTAATTTTAACAGTGTGGATTTAAGTTAGGTAATTTAATGTTACAGTGTGGATTCCAGTTAATGTTACAATGCAGATTCTGGTTAGGTCGTTTAATGTTACAATGTGGATTCTGGTTAGGTCATATAATGTTACAATGTGGATTCCGGTTAGGTCATTGTTACAATGTAGATTTCCCTTGTGGGTTCCGGGGCCCCACTATAGGGAAAACAAGAATAGACCCACTGCCTACCAAAAAGCATGTCGTAAGAGTCGACTAATTGGGAGCTTCATTCAAAGTCGGAGTGCATCTGCCTGAGAGTCTGCATGCAAAATAGATCTATCGAATGAATGCACACGCAAAACTCAGGTTCTGGAACAGGGCTGCAGTCCAGAAGTGGACAAACAACCAGAACTTTCCGCCAGAGTTTACAGCTGGTGAATGCTAAGAGAAGAAGAAGAAAATATAGATTCTGGTTTTGTCATTGAATATTACAATGTGGATTCTAGTTAGGTCATTTAATGTTACAATGGATTTCAGTTAGGTCATCAGTCGAAAAAGCTTTGGGATGATGACCCTCACAGAGATGGCCAACACAAGATGTTCCATCATGGCTGGACCACTAGGGACGACACTTGGACTAGCGGACCTTCAGGTATGTGTTGTGATTGAGAATTATCAGATGTTGAATTGCTGTTGTCAGGTGTGGTTCTCCACTTGCCTCGTTGTTTAAGGGTGGAATTGCAACATCACACTCTTCTTCTTCTTCTTCTTCTTCATGTTCACCGGCTGAAAATTCTAGCGGAAAGTTCTTGTTGTTCTTCCACTTCTGGAGTTTAGTTTTGTTCCAGAACCCAAGAATTGCATGCACGTCAGTTTTATAAATCTGACTTTTTTGTATGCAGACTGTTGGTTCCTTGCCTCTCGGGCAGATGTACTCTTGACTTCAAAGGAAGCTCCCAGTTAGTCGACTCTTATGACATGCTTGTTAGGGAGGCAGTTGGACTATTCTTGTTTCCCCCACAAAGGGGCCCCTGGGCCCACACGGGGAGTATCACACATGCCATTCATGTCCTTGAATTGTGTACCTACTTGAGAACTCTTTACTGCTGTTTGACCAGTTTTTGCATGTAGTACACTGGTGTATGTGTGTATAAGAGAAAAAAGAACGCACATTTTAAGTCTCACACTTTCCATAGATTTATTATCTGTGACCAATAATTATGTGTATTACAGATAAAACTGTGAAAAGTTAATACATAACTGATAATATAAGGATCTCGGCAGGCCGGTTGACACTCTTGTCTCCTTAGCGAATGTCACAATCTGTGGATAGATTTAGTTTATATACACTTGAAAAGTCGGCTCTGTGGCTAAGTCGATGCGAGCACTTCGTAATGCCAGGATGCCGGGTTCGATCCCAGCTGCGGGCCATGCGCCTTGCGTTGGTTTTGACAGTGGTATCAAGAAAGCTGACCGTCCAGAAAGCAATGACAAACTACTGGGTGTAAATTTGCCTAGTAAAACCATAACAGCCAGGGGCTGTTGGGGTTGGTTCTGCAATGCCCTGTAAAGGATGCACAACTAACCTTCACTTAAAAAAGCAAAACAACTTCCATTCTGCTGCTGACACCTGGCCCTTAGCATTAGTATTAGAATTTCGACAAGGTCATGCTATGGGGCACCCGATACATTTTTTAGGCCACAGTTATGTATTCTATTTAATGCTTCACTCCGTTTGTGTTTATTGATTACTCCCTTGATATATTTTTTCAATAAATACATTTTTTAAAGGTGAGCCTTTAAAAAAAAAAGGATTTTTCAGGAATTTCCAGGTTGGTTTGTGGCCCCTTTTTGTTTTGAATATTTCTATTTGCAGAAGAGTTAAGACAATGCCGAAATGTTTGTCACAGTGATATGAGCTGATGCAGTTAATGAGAAATGCAAGTGTACTGTGTTGCTGGATTTTGTGGAAGGGGCTTCAGCTGAAAACATTAAAAGTGATAGAAAATTGCAGTCTTCTTCTTCTTCTTTGATCCTTCTGTGAGAAAACTTATATCAAGAGGCAGGTAGCCTTTATGAAAGCTATCAACCATTTCAATGTCTTGTAACCTATCATAATTGTTGAGGATGTCTGACGTTTTACGCAAATGACATCAGGGTGTAGATGAACACGGTGATGTCATAATTACTGTTTAAAGATGGTTGCCACACTTTTAACATGCACCAAAGAGGAGCAGCCTTATTTGAAGACCCCTTGTATGTAACCTCAATGTCATTTATAGAGCTTTGTATTTTGTGTGTGGGTTGTATGTTATTTTACTAGGCAGTTTTATGTTCACTAATTTGCAGTTGCTTACTGAGTGGTTCGATGCTTGTACCATTGTTACTCTTTTTCTCAGCGTTTGCCAGCAGAAAATTCAAGTTGTTCGTCCATCTCTTCAGGCAGATGTACTCCGACTTCGAAGGAAGCCCCCCAATTAGTTGAGCTTGTTGGGGAGGCAGTGGGTCTGTTCTTGTTTTTCCCCATAATGGGGCCCCGGAACCCACACAGGGAGTATCATTATTGAAATCAGCACAAAGTGGTTTGCTGCTGAATAACCTGCAGCTGACTTCAGACCCAGTTACATTATAATTATGAACCTGCCTTCATTACCCCTAAACCAGTCTCTTTTTCTTCAGCAGTCCGAGCCCTTGAGGTTCATTGCTGCAGATATCACCCACCTCCACTCCTCTTTCTGGTCGGCTTTCTCTTTCAGTTGGTGACACGAAGTGTTTAAAGGTCTGTCTGGACATTATCTCTCCATCGTCTTCTTGGTCTGCCTCATGGTCTACAACCATTCAGCTCCCTTGTGTATACTTTTTACCTCTCTGTAACCTGACATCCTCTCCATATGCCCCAGCCATTTCAGTCTAAATCACAGATGGCAATGAAAACTATGTATCTGGTTAATTTGTATCTGTTTTCCACAGAAACGTCCAATCAGATTGGTGTTAACATGGTAGAGTACGTTCTGGGAGGGTCTCCGAACAAAATGGAGTCTGGTGCACTTAGTAGGATCAAGTCATTTGTAAGTAGGACCACTGACTCATACTGACAGTTTTTGTTTTAGGGAAGATGTATTGCATTATCCTTATTACAGTTGTTGATTGTTATTGAAACACTGATTTACTTTTTGTTGTTAACGCACCTGACAAGATACAGTGAAATATGCCTAGCAGTAAATTGTGCAGTATATTGTATATTGACTTAAGAATCACTATATCACTCAGGACAATCCCATAAGCGTGCCGTCCCCATCTTCAGCAGCAGACAAAGAATTCCAATTCCGCTGGCACCAGTAGCTGTCTGACTGTATGTCGGTCTCGCCTTTCCTTTGAGTTTTGAGGGGCGGTCAGATCCCCTGTTTACTTCTCCCAGCGCCATTCTCCTCAGACCCTAATGATCTATCTGTGCTTCTGCACTGTTTACTTGTTCCCAAAGGGCCCTCACAACATCCAGCCTGTCATACATGAGTTCACCACCAAGTGGTGCAGAATCAGACAGTCTGTCTGCCTGCTCATTTTCCAACACACCGATATGAACTGAAGTAAATATCCAAAGGATATGTTATGTGTGTCTGCTTAATTTAAACTCACTGCAGGAAAAAATTGTTGTCTCTGACTGTTATAGTAGTTACTTCCTATTGTTTTCATTCTCCAGTTCTGCTTGTTTTTACTGCTTGGTGTGGGGGGGGGGGGGGGGGTGGCGGTGGTGGTGTGGGAGCTTGAAGATTTAGGGCCGCAGGGCTAGTGCTGTCGCCACAGACTGTGCAGGTTAGGGTTTTCTCAAATTGTTTTTCAGTACAGCTTGGCAAAACCGCTTACCTACCGGCCGAGTGCTAGTGTGTATCCTGCTATCCCCATTAGGGCAGATTTAACAATTGATATGGGTTCCCTTTCTATACATAGATTCCAGGAAATGTTCCGGCAAGTGAATATGGCTGGCATAATTTTGACCACAAAACCGGTTAGCAGTAAGTGGCCTACAAAAATAATGGGGCAAGCACGGTATGCCGATTTTGTCTCAAGGCGTAGAAGAAATTTTTTCACCTTTAGGATGGAATAATAATGAAAATTGATATCTACAGGGTTTCCCTGTGTGGGTTCTGGGGCCTCATTATGGGGAAAATCAATAATAGACCTATTGCCTTCCCAAAAGCATGTCATAAGAATTGACTAATTGGGAGCTTCCTTTGAAGTCGTGCATCTGCCTGAGAGGCAAGGAACCAAGAGTCTGCACGCAGATGAGTCAGACCTGTAAAACGCTGCACTCAGTTTCTGGAACGGGGCTAGAGCCAAGAAGTGGACGAACAACTGGAAATTTTTGCTGGAGTGTACAGCTGGTGAATGTGAAGATAAAGAATAAGAAGATTTCTAGTGTAACAAGCTACTATTGGGGGGGGGGGGGGGGGGGTATTTAAGTTACAATTATTCATGTGGTTTGGGAAATTATTCATATTTGTCTTCTTCTCTAGTTCAATTCTGCCTTTCAGTGTTAGGTTTTGAAGATTTATCTGGTGCAAGCCTTGGTAGATGCTGATATTTTATTACCTTGGATGTTCCATCTATCTATTGTTTGGGATGGTCTACCTCTAGGTCAGCTTCCGTTGTGTCCTACAGCCCTCTCTGTGGTGCACTGTCTGGTGGCGAGCTACCAGAACAAAAGAAGAGGCATGTTGGAGATCCATTGCAGGCAACCTTCACTATGGAGATGGCACCTGATTGATTGATTGAACAGGAAAACCCAGTTCTTTGACTTGCTACCGTAAATGATGTGAATATGATCACAGATAAGATCAGAAACAGAATAGAAAACACATTATAATTATTTGAAATTTTCCAGTGAAACATCATATTTGATAAATATTGTTTCCTAATGACATCTAGACTCAATACCCCCCTCATCAAGTGCCACAGCAAGATCCGAATGTGGGGGAGGACAAGAAGAGCAAGACTCCGTCTCCCTTTGAAGATGGTGGTGGCGATGAAGGGAAAGATCTGCAGGCTAATGGCATGATGTCAAATGGTTTGGATGAAGGTGCATTTCGGTGAGTGTATTTACGCTGTCTACCTGTGAATTTGTTCAACAAATCTTGTGGTTTCTAATGATTTCACCCCCGTCTTTCCTTTTTCTTTCGTAGTGATGTCAGATTCATAGCTGAAACCAGAAGCGCAATTAACTGAAGGAAATTGTATTAATAAAATTTAGAAAGACACCAGTGGTGGAGCTTTGGGAGAGAACTAAACAAATTCCAGGAATATAGAGGTGAAAAATCATAGATCAGTATAACTAGAATGTATATACAATGGAACTCACAGTGACTTAGAAATAAAAGCAAGCCAAAAAAAAAAAAAAGGGGGGGAGCTAGAGAGAGAGTTTAAAATTAAATGGGAAGGCATGAGTTGAGCTGCATGTGATAGAAAAGTATAGAATATGTTTGCATGAGTTGGTTGAGGGCTTATAGTGCTGGGCTAGTTATCTGGCCCGTGGAGGCCTAGCAGGTGGCCCTCAGATAATTGCCACTTGTATTGTATTAATGAGCTTTGTATGCTTGAGCCTCTGGCCCGTGACGATCCCTTTTTTTCAAAATTGTGGCCATCTATACAGATGGTATGGCTCTGTGTTGAGGGGCAGACAAAGTGCATGGGGTTTCATAGCAAAGGCGAATAGACATAGCCTAGTGCAGCAAAGCCTTGCATATGATATCAGAAGGTCTAGTTTGAGAATGGAGGTGGAGGCAGTCTCTGCTGCCTTCCACTGGCTTGAGAATCATCTGTACCTACATGCCGTGATTGTAACGGACTCACAGAGCATGTTGAGAAGGGTGAAAATAGGCATGCTTTGTACAGAGTGGCCAATTTCACTTTAGCGGTCCCGGGTAGTTAGCATCCTTTGAATGTTTTCTCCAGGTGATGCCGATGTGTTGGGAAATGAGCAGTCAGATAGACTGGCTGGCTTTGCACCACTTGGTTAATTGATGTTTGACAAGTTAGATATTGTGAGGGCCCTTTAGGAGCGAGTAAACAGTGAGGAGGCAATATAGATCATAACGGTCTAAGGAGAATGGCACTGCGAGGTGTTACCAGGGGATCTGGTCGATGCTGAATACTCAGGGGAAGGATGAGAAGAATGTATAATCAGACGGTTACTGGTACCATCAGAATTTGAACTCTTCGCTTGCTGCTGAAGATGGGGACTGAGCCCTTATGGGAATGTGATGTCGATTCCGAATTCAACATTTAAAATTTGTTTCCCCTAAGTAAACTTAGTTGAATAGCTCTGCTCTAATGGGTGGTAGAAGAGAAGAAAGTATCTACTGCAGCTATAAGCTGTTTGGAGGCAGCATGAGACTGAAATAAAAACTATGTATCTGACTATCATCTGTCTCCACAGAGGAAGCAGACAGACATCACCTGCAGATGAAGAGCGACAAGGACATGTGGGTATGTCCATGGAACATCAGAAACTCCACTTACGAGATGCCGGCGACTTTATGGATGGTTCCCACCACTCAGTGGGATATGGGCTCGACACTCACCAGCATCACCACCACCATCATCATCATCCTCAGTTTGAACAGGTGGGCATTGATCCTCTCCAGTACGGTGGCGATTTCGGCAGTCAGTTGATCCCCAGTATGGATAGTCCAAACAGTTATAACATGGATTATAGCCAGGTAATGTTTGCATCTTGTTTGAAAAGTTATTTTTCAGTTCTGTTTTCTTTTTCTTCTGAGTTTACTATTGTGCTGTGGTTTACAGTAAGGCTGCGAAAACTAAGCCTTATAGCAGCCCAACAAATTCGATTTTAGCAAGCCGTTAATTTTGTTCCTTTCACCATATCTTAAGGTGGCGTTCCCTTAGCAGTCTACAGTCTGTTATTTATTGCTAATTTAATATTTATTTGGGCAGCCCCACGGCAAATTCCTATTTGTTCTGTCAAAGGCTTTTTTCTGTGCTTTATTAATATCCAACCCCCAGATGACGTCACAGGACAATCCAACATTTTAGAGGGTGGTAAGACTGGGTTTCCTGGTGCTTTTAACAACCCCGAGACATCTAGGTTCCACGACTGCATGCAGCCTGTCTACCACCCCCTGAAATATTAGATTGTCCGGTGACCTGTGGATTTCCTCTGTTTGGGGTAGGATATTAATAAAGCACCCTTTTTGGGTCTGTTAATGCAACTTTGTAAGATTGATACTGAACTGTTATGTTGTTGTAAGCTGTTGCATCTGTGTGGCTTGTTTCTTCCAGATTACATCGTGGCTTCATAGAGTTGTTCTTGTTGTCTTTCTCTTCAGGTTTTGGGAGGTATAAGGTTTTACTTCTGGCTGTTCTGGTCGCCTCAGCCAAGGACACATTGTGTTGTTGTATAGAGTCACTCTGATATTGTTGTCTTTCCATTTTGTTCTTGCTCTACCTTTCCGCTCCATGTCCCTCTCCTCATCTAGTGTATGCTGTTTATGGTTTTGCATTGCAAGGCATTTTAAGTGGGCTAACCGTTTTGTTGTTGCTGCTCTCTTTGCTTGTAATTTCACATTTGTTCTGTGCCAATCTTTTCTTTTGTGACCTCATTCCTGATTTTTAAAAAATCTCTTTAATCTTTTTATGTTTTTTCTTGACGTTCATATTATGTGGCACCGTGATTTGAACATAACATGCTTTATTAATAAAATACAATAGCGGTCTTAAAGATGAGTGTCAAATGCATGTGTGCCAATTTGGTAACATTTTGAAAATAGTTAGTTTGTTCGTTCTTCTGGTCACTCCTGCAGCCTTTCTCTTACATCTTGTTATCGTGGTTACTAATTTTGTTTGTTTTTCTGGTTTGCTGTGTTTTGTCTGGCATTGATAGCATAGAATTCTTTCTGTAATGGTTTTAAACTTCTCTTCTTTATCTGCCCTTTATCCCCCAGTAGAGAACAGAATGGATAAATTAAGACTTCCTTACCAAGTTCTCATTTGGACACCACAGGGGAAAAGATCTCGTGGAAGACCAAGGGAAACCCTACGTAGAAATATCATCAGGGAAGACTCGCTCATGGGCCACTCAAACATCCAAGACCTACAACAGATTGCAAGGAACCGCCATGCATAGAGAGTCATGACCTCTGCCCTATGTGCCGCACTCGTCACAAGAGGAAAGACTAACTAACTAACTAAGAGAACAGGCCCTCAACTAACTGTCCTTTTTATCCTTTGCTGTTGCATGCAGCTCACCCTATTTCCCCCCCCCACCTTTTTCTTCTTCTTTTTTCGTATGCTTAGGTCAGACCACTAGCTGGGTTGCCTTTATGTACTCACATGTCGGCTGCAGGTTCTTCATGGTTTGCCCCAGCTTGCTCGGCAGACTTTTCTCATGAGGCCATGGTTTTGTTTCGTAGAGTGGGCAGGTCTGCAGAATGTGCTGAGGTGTTTGTGGTCCCGACATGCACACTGTCGGTAGAGTCTTTATTTTATGCATGTGGTAGATGGGCCTGCAGTGTCCTGTTCGTAGACAGAAAATTCTTGTATGTTGCTTTATCTTGAAGTCTGTTGATAGGAGCTTGTGGATTTTTATTGTTGGTTTGTTCTCTTCATAGTTCTTTGTATTTGCTCTTGATAAATAGATTAGTGATTAGAAAGGATTTCATCACAGCACTCCGGAAAAGTCCATAGGTGCTTCAGTCTCCTCCTCAAAAGCTCCACAAGTGTAAAACGACTGATGACGCCTGTTCTGTGTTGGTTAATGAAATGTCTTGTCCCCTTAGTTATTTTGCAGCAAGATGGGTGTTTTCTGCGCTTCCTCCTTTTAATGTGTACATCTCTATTATATATATATGTGGAACAAGTGAAGAAGATCTCAGCTCAAACGCATGTACTCCGTCGCCTAAACTAGAATTCTGGGCCGACATTTTCACATGCGGCTGGCCACAGAGGTTGTCAGTGTTGTTGCTAAGGCCGCCATGACGTCGATCGGCAGCACACATAACAAAAACACTAAAACCGCAACGCATATTTACCACACGGGCCTTGAATAGATATCTTGCAGTGTAACACATTTCTGCGCTGCCTTTGAGTCGATATTTCAGTATGGTCCAATAAAAAGCGAAATGGCCCATGAGCACAAACACAGCAACCTGCCGCCATATTGGAAAACGGAAGTAAAAAAATATTTTGATTTCTGGTAATAATGAATGGGTGTGTTGTTTCACCTTTGTTTCATCGTCTGTTTTTTTTTTGTGTGTTTTTTTTTAAATTTGGGTCTGCCTTTTTTCTGTGCTCCCTCACAGTGTTTTATTTTATCTGCTAGCTGTGCACCAAAATATTTAAAAAAAAAATATTTAAATTTGTAAATGTTAACGGCAGGGAACTAACACCATGACCTTTGTCCACAGCAGCTGTTACAGCGACAGCAGCAGCAAATTGCCATGCTGACCCCTCAGCAACCCTTCACCCTGCCCGGACAGCAACCGCTAGGTATGGATTACGGTCAGCACCCTTTTTTTATTC